CGCCGTCACCACAGAGTCAAGCATGAACTGATGAGGCTCCTAGAAGAGAGAGAATACGCCTGTTTCGAGGAAGTATATTGTATAGATACGGATGGATCCACCCGATATGCCGACATTGTAGCATTCCCTAAGACGGGAAAGTCGGCGATGATTTTGGATCCGACCGTGAGATATGAGACCAACGACCTCGATCAGGCAGAAAAAGTGGAAAGGGAGAAAAAACAGACATATGAGAAATGCATCCCTTTCCTTAGTGAAAAGTTCAGCGAGAGTTTCGGGCCGAGAGAGTTCCACGTGAGAGGCCTTTGGTTCGGAGCTTGCGGAACGATACCAGACTCAACAAGGAGCTTCATGGAGGGCCTTGGTGTCGACATAAAGGACGTGGCAAGGTTGGCAGAGAGTATAATCCTCGACTCCCTGGGAATCATCCACCACCATGTGCATGGGAGCGGATAGGGGGAGAGTTTGCTCGCGGGGGTGGGGGGGAGGCTTGCGTGTGTTACAGCATTTTTTATATTATTATTTATTGAACACGTCCACTGTACTTTATGTATTTTTTATGTATTAGGTTAGAAAGAGAGAGGAGAGAATGTGAGGAGTGGGAACATGTATAGGGGGAGAGAAGGAAGAGAAAGGGTACAGAATGATAATAAATGAATGAAAGAAATAGTAAAAATTATAAAAAAAAAGGAGAAAAAAAAGGAAAGGAAAAAAAAATAATAATATATATATACGTATAAAATATTGTATACTATGCTCATACATATTGTTAATCCTATAATTGTATAATAATTTTAAATAATGTCTGTAGTGATTAATAAATATGCTGTTTTGTTAGCAACCCAATGTAATTGGGCAGTACTATTTTATTTTATTTTATTTTATGATAATAAAGTGATTCTCTCTCTACTGAACAGAAACTCACATCTTTCAATTAAAATCAAACTACTAGTCTATAAGACCAAACTAAAACCCATCTGGACTTATGGACTTGAGCACTGGGAGACAACTAAATCTTCGAACATCAAACGTATCCAATCCAAATTCTCAAACTTTCATCAAAAATTATCAATCATCCTAATCCCTTAGCGATATCCCTGTACAGCTCCAACCATCCATATACTCACCCACGAAGGTTAAAACGGCAATAGCCCCGATATCTTTTATAAATATTCTAATTGAGTTCTGGTAGTGGTCAGCTTCTCCACTCAAGCCCAGAGCGTATGTGGATTTAGCGCTCTTACTCAGTCTCCGTCTTTAAACAGTGATGCGGCTGAGAGAGAAGCTCTGGTATCTCCTCTCCTGGTATCTACTGTTCTATGACTCTGATCAGCCTCTACTGGTATTTAATATCAGTAATGCGGCTGATATAGAGGCGCTGGGTTCTTCTAGGGTCCTGCTTTTCGCTCCTCGAAAGGGGAGAAAGGCTTGGGCTCGGAGATCTTAAGTGAATGATTTTATGTATATATATATATATATATATATATATATATATATATATTACCTATTTGTGGTTCATAACTTAAATAGGTAACGGAAATAAACTAGATAAACATATTTATTTTAACAATTTAAATATAACTTTACATGAGTTATTGATTACACTTACATGTTTTTGAGCTCGGCCTTACAAAAGCCATGTTCTATTACATAATATTAACATTGTTTATGATTAATGTTATAAGTGGTACAAACATTCAGTACGCCTAACTCTGTATAACCTAGTGTAACTTCCTAATTTATTACCTATTTATATCACATGGTGATATATTATCACTGACGCAGTTGCAGTTATTAATTAGAACGGAGGTAGTAGTGCTGCTACATTTATAATATAATACATATGCTACATATGGAAAGAAGCCCGGAATATATGTATATATATATGTATATGTATATATATAAATTTGTCAATATATGTATTGACAAATTTGTTGTCAATTGAAAGTTGAGATTTACTATTCAGTAGTCTGTATAATTGGCTGTATCGTCTGTTAAGTTCTTGTCTTTTAAGTTTAGTAGGTGGATTCCTCGTTAGTCTTCTTTCTAAGAGAAAGCCAAGATACCGGACTGTGTCTGAAAAAAGAAGCTGGATGGAATTAATGTTAACTGGTGGACAGTATCTGCACCGGAGGGTGAAGGTAATGTGTTTGAATTTCGATTTATTCACTTTAATGCTCCATTCATCATACCAGTGCTCAATCAGGGAGACGTCTCTTTTTGGGGTCTAAATTGGATGAAAGGATGACGGCGTATCAGCAAATGTTGCCAAAAAGGTATCGGGATGGACTGGGATATCAGCGGTAAAAAAAGATATAAAGGACGGGGCCCAAGACGCTACCTTGAGGAACACCGGCTTCAACTGGGTAGGAATTTGAAAATTCTGTACCACAGCTCGAACCAACTCGAAAAGTGCGATCAGAGAGGTAGGAGCGGAGGATTAGGTACAACGACTGGGGCAGATGGGTTTTAAGCTTGGAAAGAAGCCCGGCGTGCTATACCCGGTCAAAAGCTTGATATATATATATATATATATATATATATATATATATCAAGTTAACTGTCCACCAGTTAACATTAATTCCATCCAGCTTCTTTTTTCAGACACAGTCCGGTATCTTGGCTTTCTCTTAGAAAGAAGACTAACGAGGAATCCACCTACTAAACTTAAAAGACAAGAACTTAACAGACGATACAGCCAATTATACAGACTACTGAATAGTAAATCTCAACTTTCAATTGACAACAAATTACTGATATACAAGACAATCTTGAAACTTATTTGGGCCTACGGACTTGAAGTTTGGGGGACAGCTAAATATTTTAACATCAAACGCATCCAATCCTTTCAGTCCAAAATCCTTCCAACAATAGTCGATGCTCCTTTCTATCTAACCAACAAACACCATGACCTTAACATCCCATTTATCCTCGACCTAATCCATGAAAAAATTTTCGAATTTCATCAGAACCTTATAAATCATCCGAATCCCGCATCACAGTCTCTATTTATTTCCAATCATCCTTACAATCCTCCTCGTAGTTTGAAGCTGCAGTGGCCCAGATATCTATTGTAGTATATATACTGAGAGGCAAAAAATTCCACCTATTTGATTTTTTCATGTTTTCATCTAAAAATATTTCTACTTTGGATTGGTCTATTGTTTTTTGTTTTTTTTAATGAATAAATAGGTAATCTTTTTGTTTGTTTTCTATTAGGAATGTTAATATAGAGGACAATAACCCTTAATCCTTAATTCAATGAAATGATTCCAGATTCCAATGTTTACTTTCTATGGAATCAAAATGTTTATTCAGTATCATTAGTTCAGTGACGTTTCTTACAGCACATTTTTTAGTGTCCGGCTTTTAATTTTTTAAATATTAAGTTTTTGGAAGGCAGTGGATCAGCTGATGCGAAGGTTGTCTTCTCAAATACTTTCTCAGTGTTTGCCTATTTTATAGCGGAATTTCTCTGATTATTCAAGTGATACAGTTAAAATGTACATCAGAGCAGTTGATATTTACTGCTGACATATTTTTTCTGTTATTTTTAATTTTTTTTTTGTCTTCTTTTTTCTTTTTCTCTTATGATATGCGGTATGATCAGCAAGTGATGGCCAATAAGGTGCCCAAGAGGACTCGGTCAGATGACGTTAGTACACCACGTGGTTCACCAGCCAAACAAAAGACTCGTCGCTGCCTATGAGAAATACCTCCAGTGATCAAAGTGAACACTTCAGAACCAGAACTTCAGCCCCAACCAGGTACGTCTTCGCAAGAAATGATTGAAGAATCGCCTTTCTTTACTCCAAACCCCTACCAAGTGCTTCAAAATGACCCAGCAATAATGGAATCTGCAGCAATGCCCAGGGAACCAAAGCCTCCTCCGATATTTGTGAAAAATATCAAAAATTTCTAGATGTTCTGCACCCAACTAAATAAAATCTGCTCTGGCAGTTATTCATGCCTTAACATGACCAATGACACCAAATTAACACCTGATTCTGCTGAAGGCTACCGAAAAATAGTGAAGTACTTATCAGAAACAAATGCGAATTTTCACACTTACCAGCTGAGGCAGGAAAGAGCGTTACGAGTAGTGATAAGAAATTTACATTCCTCAACCCCCACTGAAGTTATTAAAGAAGAGCTAACGACGCATGGTTTCAATGTACGCCAGGTAACAAACGTTTTGAAAGAGGACAGGGAGCATCCAGGATTACGAAATAGGATCCCACTACCATTGTTTTTCGTGGTCTTGGAGCCATCACCAGGTATCGAAAAAAATGTATGATATCACAAGAATATACTACACAATGGTAAAAGTTGAGAAGCCATACCCCAAGAGAGACATCGTGCAGTGCCATAATTGTCAAACCTATGGCCATACGAAAACATATTGCCACCTGCCGCGTTGCGTGAAGTGCGGTTAACAGCACAAATCTGTAGAGGGCACCAAACCTATACAAGATCCAGCAGTATGTGCCCTATGCTTGGAGGGACACCCGGTCAACTACAAAGGCTGCCAAATTTACAAGATTAGTATTATAATAATATTATAATAATTTTAATATTATTTTAAAATTATATCAAACTAATTAAATAGTTACTCTTGTTAGGTTAATACACTGGTGTATACGGATGTAAAAGGGATAACCTCAAAATGGAAAAGGAACAAAAAGTAAAGAAGTCGAGAGGCCCGGGGAGATTGATGAGACAGAGACAGCCATGGAGGAGTTAGTTGTGGAGGCCCCTCGATAGAAGGAAGAGGGTTAGTAATCGGGGAAGATAGGTGAGAGAAATTCCCTCAGAAAAAGGTGGAAAAAGAAGGGTCATATTAAAAAGGTACTATTAAATTATTAGGGTACTTCACTATTAAAAAGGTGGAGGATATTCAGGAAAGACAAAAAGAATACCTATCCAAGACAAATCTGACAAAAGACAGACAAAAACACATCATTGCCCAAATAAGAGAATTGACAAACATAATTACTGGGATGGAGGCTGTTACCAAATTTATAGAATTCATCATCCCACAGAAAGACAGTCTCATCTCGGCGGCCATCCTAAAAGCCAAGGGGGAAAACGAACAGGAAATAAAACAAGGTGATGCAATGAACCAAGGGAAAGGAGAGGACGCGAGAGGGACAGAAAAGAATACGCCGGTGACAAGATGTATGCCGCTCCTCATGGCCCTCAGAAATAAGAATATCAGGATTGCCAGGGGAAGGAACCCCGTCACATCTGACGTCGACTCGGAGGAATAGGTTACTGGAGAGTTACTTTCCAGAATGAACGTCGAGTTGCAGAAGAAGGATTTAACAGATTTGAGGTAGAGTATGAGGGCGGATGCCCAGCAGGACTTCATCATCCCACGCAAAGAGAGGAAAAAGGTCCCGAGGAAGGCAAAAAAAGAGAAGACCACAGACGGAGGTGAGCAAACAATTGACTTACTCGGATATGCTTAAAAACGTAAGCACCAAAGGGACAGTAGGCGGGTCGAACGAGGCTCCTGCTTATGTAACAATTAAAGGTGCTGTAGACGACTGGAACCCTACAGAAATATGGAAGCAGCTCCCGAGTGAACAGGAGCTCACGGAGGCAGGCGTCCAGGTGGAAGTACTGAAAGTCACTCATGCTGGCAATGCCTTCCTGGTCAAAAACAAGGGCTCTGACAAGGCCATGAAACTCATAGAGTGGGAGACTATAGGAGAGAAACGTCTAGTGGCTAGGTTGGCCAGGACTAAGAAGCTCAAATTAGAGGTGAAAGGAGCTCCCAAGTACTGGAAAGCAGAGACCCTAGGATAGGAGGAGGATGGTGGACCCCAGATATAAAAGAATATCTGGACGCTCCCCACTGCCTAAAGTATCTAGCCTATGGAATGCGAAAAATCAGTGACGTATAAGTGGTGTGGGAGAGAGGGCCACAAGGTAGTGGAATGCCCGAAAAGGAAGAGTGGCCTACCCCCACTGCAAAATGGCTGGAAAGCAAATGGGTATGAACCATTGGACCGGGAATAGGGACTCTCCGGTACACATTGAAGAATAAAGGCGCAGATCCAGAAGACCAGATATGGATGAGCTTAAACTGGTTCAGCTCAACATGGCAGAAGACGCGTAGTGGCGGAAGAGTTAAGAGAAATGGCCCGGCACTGTGATATAGTGGCAGTAAAGGAGCCGTGGTGCGTGAGAGGGTTCGGAGTGGCATCGAGGGCGGTGGCACTGGGAAGTGGAGAGAGAAGGCCCAGGGCAGCCATCATTGTATTCCACCCCGCCCTCGATGTCATGGAGCTGGGGCAGCACATGATAGCGGACCAAGCGGCATATTTTTTACTGGTATCCCCATACATTCCTCCTGAACAGAATATCACTGATAATTTTGCTGCTCCAGAGGCTGTTGCACTCCAATATCGGAACATAATAGTCTGCTCTGAAACGAACTCGTTGAGGACTGCCTAGCCAGATGCCCTCTGCACCCACATTTATGGGAGCGAGGGCCCAGAGCTGGATTGATGTAACCCTGGCTACTCCTGTCATGTCAAGGAGGATTACTGACTGGTTCCTACTGTCTGACACGAGCTCCGACTACGGAACCATTAGATTTAAGTTAAAGGACAGTGATCACCACTAGAGCGAAAGGAAAATGGGATTCGTAACGAAGAGGACCGACTGTGCGCTCTTTACCAGCGCTCTAGAGTCCAAGTTGGTGGACCAGGAATGGAAAGAGAGCATGAATGCCACTGCCCATGTGAGTTACTGTCAGGACCAGCGTGTAGAGAAGCTGTGCAGGCTAAAATATGTGCTGCAGCATGTGACTCGCTGAAACCCAGAGGAATGAGGAAACTGTGCGTTCCATGGTGGACCCCAGCGCTGACAGAACTCAAGATGGAGTATCACAGGGCCAGGCGTAGAAACCAAATGTGCAGGGTGGAAGGAAGAAAAGCAGCACTCTGGGAAGAATGCCGGGGCAAGTATAGGCTATATAAGGCCGGAGTGCGACGCCAGAAGAGAGTTTCCTGGGACCAGTTCATAAAAACTGAAAGTGATCAGAATCCCTGGGAAATTCCATACAGGGTGGCGATGGATAAACTTAAACCCGGTCAAATAATGGCGGCAATAAGATCAGCAGGTGGACCAGCAGCCACCCTCGAGGAAACAGTTGGAAGATACATGCACCACACCTACCCTAGGGATGACCCGTTCCAGGACAACGAAGAGGATAAGGTTCTCATGCAAACTACGGAGTATCCGCCTGGAACGGAATTCATTCCACCATGGGACGTGTGGGACCTGCGGATGGCAAAAGACAGACAAAGGTGGGGAAGAGCTTCGGGACTCGACACCATTGATGCGGAGTTCTTAAAGAGGAGTGCTCCCTATATTGAAGATGAATTACTTGAGATAATGAATGAATGCTTGGATAAGGAGCACTTCCCAACTCAATGGAAGGTCGCCGACATGAGACTGCTATACAAGGGGGGAGGCAAGGACAAGCAGCTACCAAAGTCCTACGGACCCATACTCTTCCCTGTAATGAGCAAGGTCCTGGAGTACCTCATTATAAAGGGTCTGGAGCCAGTCCTGCGGGTAGCGAGTCACCTGAGACAATACGGATCCACGAAGGTGCGCGGCACCAGAGATGCCCTGATGAGATTACGCAGCAAGGTTGATGACAAGGCTGAGAAATATGTCATGATGGTCCTCTTCGACATATCTTCCGCCTTTAATAGCGTATGGTGACCCTGCGTACTCCAGCGCCTCCAACAGTTCGGCGCACCCAGCAATTTTTACTCCCTCATTAGGGGGTACCTCGGCGATAGGAAAGCTAGGATACGGGGTACCTTCCATGAGGTAGTGCGGAAAATAGAAAGACAATGTCCACAGGGCTCAGCCCTGGGCCCGGCTCTGTTGAAGTTAGTATTTGACCAGTTGATGGGGAATTGGAGGTAGCGGGCTTCGGTGCCGTTGCCTACGTTGATGACCTGGCTGCCATAGTAGCAACGAATAGCAAAGCGAGATTGGTGGCGAAAAGAGAAAGGTGCACCATCATAGTAGAAGAATGGTGGACTGGAGGCACTCCCAGAGGGGCTTCAGCGGAGGGTCCGTGAGTATCCAGGAAGATTTAGTGGCATAGTCCGTGAGGCGACACTAGAGGAGTGGAATGGACGGTGGATTGCAAGTGAGAATGGAGCCACCTTGAAAAAGTACTTCCTCACCGTTCATTCCAGATTGAAAGCACATTGGGTCGAGCCGGACTACTGGACCTTACATATCCTGACGAGACATGGGGGGTTTAGAGACAAACTCAGGAAGCATGGGAAGAACATCGACCCCTCATGTCCCGACTGCGGTGCCCCTGATACGGCTGAGCATGTGGTTATATCATGCACCGCGATGGAGCAAGACAGAGGCATATTAATGCGGAGGACGGGACTTTACGCCTTAGACGAAGAGTATCTTCATCGACTGATGGAAGAGGATAAATACCCCCACTTCGTAGAGTTCAACAATGAACAAGTCTCTAGGAAAGTAGAGAGTGCACTACTTGGTGTACGTAACTGGAAAACGGCTGCGCATGACAGAGACGCCTGGCGGACACGTCTTGATGAGGCCAAGACTCTTCATGAGTTGTAGTGCCGTGGAAGAAACCAGAATTGGGCAAATAATATATATTGCTAACAGCTCACAACTAAATTAGCGGACAGATAATTCTGAAACTGAATTAGCTATTAGCGGAACCAGGAAGCTAACTTTTAGCCATAGTTAATTATTAGCTATTCTTATATCTAACAGCTAATTAGCTTTATCAATTGATCTTAGAGTCGACTATAATGTTTCTGGGGGCACTTTTTATAAAATACTGTCGGATATTAGATTGCGCCTCCAACTCCCCTACTCGCATCGAATTTTTGTAACTTTTCAGATTTAATAGATATTAGGGTAGGATATTATGTTTTAGGTGTCGTTATCTATGAAAATACTGTCGGATTTAAGATTTCGTCCCCTCCCCGCATCGACTTTTTGTAACTTTTCGGATTTATAAGATATCAGGGTCGACTATTATGTTTTGGAGGGCGCTTTCTATGAAAATACTGTCAGATTTGAGATTGCGCCACCCCTGTATCGACTTTTTGCAACTTTCCGGATGTAATTAATATCAGGGTCGACTATTATATTTTGGGGGAGCTATTTATGAAAATAATTGAATGAAATAAAATGAAAACTATTTTTATTATCCTCGGACTGTTGTCCCTTTAGAACAAAGTATAAATACTGAGCAAATTCCTATGTGGCCACACATTGCATTAAATATTTACAAAATGATTCTAATTATAAATAAAAATACAGGAAGAAAAAAGAACAAAGCATGATTAGTACTTGGATGGGTGACCGTCTGATTTGGGTGACCGTCTACCAGAGAAAGCCATGCTGCCCGAGTCTCCCCCCCCCGGGTATGTGGACCCGTCAGCCTACTGGAGGCAACTCACACCGACCGGCAGTAGGAATGATGACCCTACCCCGTGTACTTAATCGGAAATCGGGATGTGGTTACCAGGATGTTAATAACCTCCTGAGGTTCGGTCCATGGACGGTCTGTTTTGGGGAAAGAGATATAGGTCCTCGTGCGCCTTCTGACTCCGAGCAGCCATAATCCGTGGATCTAGACCGATTTGTCACTGTCCTTGAACCCGAGAAAGTCGGTGGGAAGGACATTGCCAGATTGGCCCCAAAGGGATCGGCTATGGAGCTACGGGTGGCCGGCCGCTGCACTATGGAAACCATGGTTCGTAGCAACGTGAGGTGGTTGGGTGACCCCCTCCAGGCTATCTTGGCTTCCGCAAGTATCACACATCTGTAAGGAGACCATATCTCGCGGCCAAAGATCTTCTTGGTCTGTAGTGCCAACTGAAAAAAAAAAAAAAAAAAAAAAATATATATATATATATATATATATATATATATATATATATATATATATATATATATATATATATATATATATATGTATATACACAGAGACTAAACAAAGGGAAATAGAATAGCATTAGTATATAACATGGTTTCTGGGGAATCCTTAGAAGTTCTCTTATGTGTACTGTTACCAATGACTTACATACCGCAATGGACGAAAAAATGTTAACTGTGTTAATACTTCTCGACTTTTCCAAAGATTTTGACTCATTAGATCACTTTATACTCTACACTAAATTAAAATCTCTATCCTTCTCCAACAGCTCTATCCTCTGGTTGCAGTCTTTCCTGTCCG